GCTTTGCCAAGCTTGTTCTAAGTAGGTGCTTTAGACCACTGAGCCATCTCACCAGTCCCTCATATAGTATTATTTTCATATATTGAGCCATACTATATTTCTAGGATGAATCCTACTTGGTCATGGTGTATAATCTTGATGACTTTCTGCATTTTGTGTGCTAGTATCTATCTATCTATCTATCTATCTATATCTATCTATCTATCTATCTATCTATCTTTTTTTTTTTTTCCAACATAGTCTCACTATATGGTTCAGGCTGGCTTTGAGCTCACTTTGTATCCCAGGCTAGTCTCAAATTCTCAATGATCCTCCTGGCTCAGCACTGAGTGTTGGGATTGCAGACATGCACCACCATTGCCAGCTTACTAGTACGTATCGTATTGAAGATGTTTTCATCTATGTTCACTGGGGAGATTGGCCTGAAGTTCTCTCTCTCTCTCTCTCTCTCGCTCTCTCTCTCTCTCTCTCTCTCTGTTTGGGTCTTTCTCTGGTTTTCATATCAGGGTAATACTTGTCTCTAGGAATGAGTAATTTCTTATAGAATTCAGCAGAGCAAGGGCCCTCCACACTCTAGGGCATGGAATTGCTGAGCTTGAGTTAAGCTTTTAACTCCTCAAGTTTACACAGTGTATCAGCCACTACAATATGCATATGTGATTTTCCTAGAATCATTTGTTAAAGATGCTGGTTTGTTTCTCCAATACATGATTTGACCCCTTGGTGGAGAATCAGGCAGCTGCAGTTGTATGTGTTCATTTTTGTGTCTTCTACCTCATTTTGCTGCATTTCCAATTTTGTGTCGGTACCATATCATTGCTACTATTACTATTGTTTATTTTTTTCTTTGTGCCAGAAATGAAATCAGGGCCTTGCACTTGCCAGGCAGGTGCTTGTTCTGCTGAGCTATATCCCTGGCCCAGTACCACGTTATTTATGTTATTACAGTTTGTAGTATACTTTGAAATTGGTTATTGTGGTGCCTCCTAAGTTGCTTTTTTTTCTTTTTAAATTTGGTACAGGGTCTCACTGTGCAGCTCAGACTTGCAGTGATTCTCCTTTTTCAGTCAACAAGCATGTGCCACCACACCCAGTCTTAGTGGCCAGCATGGCATGCCCAGGGCTGGGCCAGCACTGTGGTGCTGGGGACTGAACCTAGGTCCTTGTTCTTGGCAGGCAGGGGCTTAGGCTGCTGAGCTAAAGTGCTCTTTTCATTTCAGGATTTCTTTGACAATTCTGATTCTTTCTCATTTCATTTCATTTTATTTTTTAAATTAATTTTATTCAGAAAGAAATAACAATGAGACAGTTTCAAAACAGGTTAGTAGGACAGTTACAATAATTAATACATTGTATATTGTTGTCTTCATAGTAGTTATTCATAGTATAAGATGCAGAAAGGATATCTTGTCTAAACACTATTAGTACACATCTTTCTTCTCATTGAACTAAGAGAAAGTAGCTATATATCTATCCTAACTAATTTGGTTTTTTTCCTATAATTTTATTGAGAAGCAAATAGCAATGAGACAGTTTCAAATCAAATTGGTAGGACAGTTTCAATAATTAACACTTTGCATACATTCTTCCTAGTGGTTAATTGCTGTACAAGATGCGGACATGATATCCTATTTACAAACACCATTAGAACGAATCCCTCTATTTATTAAGAGAATGTAACTATATATCTATCCTAACCACTTTGAATACACAGATACAAAATGGACGTTCATCTGCATCCCCTTTTTGTTGTTAAGTTCCATTATTTGAATATTATAGCTGTGTAAACTCAGCAAAATATTCTAAGAGTCCAGTAGCCCATAATAGTATTGGGTCTTCCACTTGACTGGCAATGTCAGAAATTGTTGACCTGAGTCCCCTACTCTTTTTCATTTTAATATACATTTTAAAATTGTCAGTTTTTGTGAAGAATTTATGGGGAACTTTGAATCTGTATATAGCTTTCTGAAAATGGCCATTTTAGCAATGTCAATTTTGCTAATCCATAAACATGGGTGGTCTTTTCACCTTCTAGTGTCTTCAATTCTTTCTTCAGTGTTCCATAATTTCCATTTTAGAGGTCTTTTCCTTCCTTGGTTAGATTGATTCCACAGAATTTTTTTTGTTCCAAATAATGGTGTAATAAAAATAAATATTAACTCTAAAAAAAAAGAATTTTATTTTTTGAAGCTATTGTGAATGGAATTGCTTTCCTGAACATTTTGTCTGCTAGTTCATTTTTGGTTCATAGAAATATTGTCACTTTTTTCAGGGCAATAGTAAGTCTTACTCTTTTGTAGAATTCAACAAATTGAAATCTTTTGGTGGAGTCTTCAGAGTCTTCTAAGTGCAGGTTCATATTATTCACAAGTAAAAATAACCTGACTTCATCCTTTCAACTATATTGTTTTTGTATTTTTCTCTTGACTAATTGCTCTAAAATTTCAAGCACTACACTGAATAGAGTGGTAAAAGTGAGCATCTTTTCTTTATTCCTGATTTCAGAGTAAATCAGTATGAGATTGACTACAGATTTGGCACATACAGCCTCTATTATGATAAGGAATAATCCTTCAATACTCAGTTTTTTCAAGGATTTTATTATGAATGGATGTTGAGTTTTGTCAAAACCTTTTGCTATATCTGTCTTAGTTACTTTTTACTCGTTGTTGGGACAAATACCCAACACTCAAAATGAAGGAAGGAAAGGTTTGTTTGTTTGTTTTTTGAAGAACTGGGGATTGAACTCAGGCCCTTGTGCTTGCCAGGTAAACGCTTAACCTACTGAGCTATCTCCCTGGCCAAGGAAAGGTTTATTTAGCTCACAGTTTATGGAGGTTTCAGCTCACATTCTGCTGGCTCCAAGGCAAATGACAGCAGTTCGTGGCGACAGAAAACAATGAAGAGCAGAGGAGGAGCAGCATCTGCGGTGTCCATCAAGCCTCTCTCTTCCTTCTATGCCGACTGCCAAGACCCAGGCTCCACTCCGAAGACCTCCGCTCCTCCAAAGTGGTGCTGCTGTTAAGATCAAGCTCCTCCGAAGGCTGGGACTTCTCCTCCGAAGCGGGGCAGGGCTGTGGAAGCCTTCCTCAATTCCTTTATATACACTTTTTGTGCTGAGCCACTCTGGGGCTGCTCATGGCCTGAGGGTGGAACCAATCGCACCCCAAGTTGGGCCTTGCCCGCCTGCAGGGTGGGGGAGGCCCCCCCATGCCCAGAACTGCTGGAGCCAATTAAGCCAAGTTGACAAAATGTATCAACTGCTACAACATCACTTGAGATGATCAGTGGATTTTTATCCAGGATTCTATTAACTCTCTTAGAATTTTCATTAACCCCTGTGTTAGCATGCTCAGCCAAAGACACGCCTTGATCTCACCCCTTTTCTCTCCCTGCTATAATGCCTCCACTTGCCCCTTCCCTTGTCCAGCACATCTGCCCTTGCATCTGCAGTGCTTGGGGAAGGGGTCACTGAGTCAGGTCAGATCTCAAGCTCTCATGGATCTCAGTGAGCTCCTCCAGCTTCCTTTCCAGCATGTTGGCCTTCTTACGCAGCTCTTCTGCTGCTCTTGTACTCTCCTGCCAATCCCTTGAGTCATGCACAGTATGGTACAAATCTCCCAATAGAGAGAAGACTGTGGTGACCATACCCGTGATCCCGACTCTCTTCACCGCTAGGACAATGGCTCCAATGATTTGCTGTACCAGATGAGAGGCAGTTCCCCAACTGGTAATGAAATGGATGACATCAGCTACTAAGTCAGAGTAAGCTCTCTCTCGCTTGATGCCACAGCGCCTTATTGCCTCTATCAGGTTGTTGACGCTGGCATGAGGAACTCTGGGTTCAATTTTATTCATGGCGTCTACAAACTCCTTCACTTTCTCCTTACTGGTTGACATGAGGTGTCTGGCTTCAGCTTCAGCTGCCCCTGGGCCTCGTTGCTCTCTCATGATAGTGGCAGGGTTGGCTGCAGGAGTCAGTGCTCCCTGCCCCAGCCCAGCCGCTGAGAGCAGGAAACTACTTCCTACTCTGAAGGGTGTCAGAGCCAGGCCAAGGAGGGTCCTGGTACCGGAGCCAGTGCCAGTGGAGCTGGTCGCCGAACTGGAGATGGTGCAATCTCTGTGTACCTGGTCAACCTGGTCAGCAAGGGCATGGAGCTTTTGTACGCATTCTTCAAGTTCTGTTTTCACCTGAGGAAACATTTCCAAAAACTTGTTCCTAGCCCACAGGTTTCTCTGGAGTTTGTCTCTATCTTCAGCGGTCAAGATCATCGTATGCTCATACAGGACATCATGAAGCATCTCTGCTTCATAACTGAAACAGCAAAAGTCAAATATTAAGAAAGACATTTTGTTTTTCTGTCAAATGTGCTCCACAAAACCTATTCTGCATAAATCACAGAACTTTTGCTCTAAATCAAATGGAAATGAATTGTACAGATGTATGCAATCTTCCTTTAAGAGTATGTTTGCACCATCATAAATGCTGTGTGGTCCTTAATTAATGTTGGGAGTAATGAGTAAGAGGCATCCTAAGATGCTCTTCATGTTAGGCATTCAGGAAAATGCTTTCTTTCTTTGGGCCAAGGCCATCACTACCAAGGTATATGTAAAGCAGAAGCTCAAAGTAGATGAACAAAAGGAAGAGGGAGTGCCATAACAAAGCCCTCAGCCCAGAGCATTCTAGGGTGCAGTGAAAAATTAACTGTGGCCACGGGGACCCTTTCTCTTTCCTCTCAGGAGCTAGGAAGTGACAACACGTAGGCATTTGGAATGTCTGCCTGCTGGAATGTCTGTGTTTGCCTGGAGACTTTGGCCACAATACGACACAACTAAGCTCAACATCCTGTGTGTTTGTAATGTGTCCTGCTCTGAAAACTTTAGAGCAATAATGGAACAAGACAAGCAGAACTTCCACACCTGACCCCACTGGATGATTGCAGTCATGGCACAAATATGCTAAAAGTACCTCATAGAATTACCTTCACACTAAGTGTATACATTGTGAAAAATAATAAGTGAATTTCGTGTTCAGATTTGGATCCTTTCTCAAAAAAGATATTTCACTATGTATCTTCAAATATTTCCAAATCAGAAAAATCCAGAATCCAAAATGCTACCTATAAAAGATGCCCAACCTTAACAATGTGATATATAATGGAAATTTAGGGATTGTTTGTAACCCTAAGAGAAACTGCATACTAAAGACCCTAACCTCCAGGATGGAAAGGAGAACCCATGGCAGCCACAATGACTACGTGTGGTCCAGAACACCAAGACTTTGGTTCAACGTGAAATTGTCCTTGACTAAATATACCAAGGAACTTCTAACTTCTTGTTAACTAACCACTGACTTGGCCTTCTAGTCTCTTCTAATCTTGTTAGGCTTAGCAAGAATCACATCAGGTTAGATCAGTGAGAATCCTCCATCTGTGATCAAGTTCCCATCCATGACTGTTGATGTATTTGTCCCTGACCTGATTTAGGAAGAGATCCACGAGGACGGCATCACTAGAATTTCCCTCCTCCTGATGTCCCTGCTAGTTTTCCTCTACTGCCCTTCACTCTGCTTGTTGGCTGTGTCCGGAGCTGAGCCCCATCTTTTTGCACCAGTGCAAGCATCCTGAATGAAGTCTTTCTGCTTGCTTTCACATGCATCAGTCAAATATTTTCTCCCACAGGATGAAACTCCCTGGTGGGTCATCTTCCCTGTGACTGGTCACACATTATACACAGCACTGTACCTTGTCCTGAGGATAACAGATGCTTCATGCTTGCAACCCTTCTAGACTCTGCCCTATGTGTTTCCTCCTTGGGTGGTTTTAACCCGTGTCATTTCCCTAAGATGCACTGTATCTGTGTCATAACCGTCTTCAGTGAGTTCTGTGAGTCCTGGTGACTCGTGAAATCTTGCAGGTAGTTTTGGGAGGCTTCCAAGTTTGGAACTGGTGTCAAAAATAATGGGATCCTGGGGACTGTGCACTTTAGCTAACTCTTAGAACTTAAAATCTAAAAGTATACCCTCACAACAAGAAGTGGCTGTGCATATTATTTGGCCTGTCATCAGCCTTTGACCAGTTTCTGCTCCCACCTGGAGGTCCCTGGATCCCATTGTTGCCATAGTAGATTGGAATCAGGAGACCTGGCTATTAATCTGGCTCCCCTCTGACTCTGCACACACCTTCTTGCCTCCTAACACTCCTCATCGGGCTCCCTAAATTTCAGGATGTTACTGTCTGATGTTACTTGACTGACCAACACCTTAGCTGGTAGCAGCTTAATTTGTGTGTAGCCAATCCCACATATAAAGACTCAAGGGAAACAGAGACTCATCTATATGAATCACTAATGTGAAAAGACCCAAACTGTGACTGGAAGACGGAGGAAGTATTCCCTCTTTAAGTGAGGACATTTGAGTCTCTTAGAATCTCTGGACTAGGGAAATGGAAAAGCCACCATTCTGACTCTGGTAGTTCTCACTGAGCTGCACTGCTGTCCCAGTGGGTCTTCTAGTCCCTTTAGAATAGGAGAGGGTCTCAGATTGTAGCTGAGAGCTGCCCAGTATCCAAGAAGAGATGACTCTCCACACCTCTCTCTGCCCATCAGAGATGGATCACAGCAGAAAGGAGAAACATGGTCTCCCCAGAGCACAGGTCCTCCAGACCCGTGACCTCCCTAGGCTCTGACCGAGCCTTCAGCACCTCCTTCTCCTCACTCTGGTCCTGTCTTCTCAACCCAGCCTTCTTAAAACACTTCACATGGCCCCATCCAGCTCTGCCCTGGGCCCATTTCCTTCTGGGCATATGGGGATGGTGCCTGCATGTGGTTCACCACCTCTGACCTGCAGTGTACTCCCAGGTCTTCATCACCATCCTACACAGTGAATGACTGCTCCCACTGAACATATGATAACCCACATCTCCAAAACATAGGCCCAAAGACCTGGAGTTGGAAGTGACAGCCATGTCCCCACCCAGTCCTGTCCAGCTCCACTCTGCCTGTAGGTGTCCTGGTCCAAAAAAGAATCCTGCTTTTTAATAGTTCTTCATATGGGGCATTGCTCAAGGTGGAACCCCTAAGAATACAAGCTGACCATGTCTAGATTTTTTTGAGGTGTCCCAAAGAAGTTTTAGTTCCTGCGCCCAAGGAGGAGACCCTTGGCCCTGCTCTCTTCCAATCAAGTATGGTAAAAGTTATCTGGGCTTGAGCCCTTACTATGTGTCAGCCATATGCTAAGCACTTTCCTCCACACATTGTTATTTTTCTGGAAGTAAGCAAAAGAGGTGAAGATCCAAGGCAGAAAATGGTGGAGAACTTGCATAGGGACACAACTAGCAGATGGCAGAGGTAACCCTGCCCTGCTGGTGCCATCTCTCCTCAACCGAGGGCACTCACTGCCAGGGAGTGACACAGAGGAAATCTCCCTCGGGGTTGTGAAGAGGGCACACCCTCAACCCCAACCACAGGAAACAGCTTAGAGGATGTGTGGCTGCCCCAGGGAAACCAGCCTGGGGGGAGTCTGGTGGTGTCACAGAGCACGCGACCTGGACAGTTTAGCTTCTGCTGTGAATATCTGCCAGACTTTGTCATGAGTCAGCAGAATCTGCAGACACTCTTCGTCCACTGCGCGGTGGAGATATTCACAGATGTTCTCAATGAAGTGCTTGCTCTCTAGATGGAGAAAAAAGAGAACAATAGCAGACAGTGTGGTGGAGCTAAGGTTTCAATGCTCAATTCCCCAAGCAGCTGTGACATTTTCTTTTCTTTTTCCTAGTCCTTAGAGTTAGATCGATGAATGCCCTTATACTTACTTACTAGGCAAGGGCTCTACCCCTGAGCTACGAGACCAGCCCTTTTGCATTTTGTTTTGTAACAAGGAGTCTGAGCTTGAATTAGCCATCATCCTGCCTCAGCTGTCCAAGGAATCTGGATTACAGGGAAGTGCCCCCACACGTGGACAAACAGGGTAATCTTGATGGAGCCAGTGAGGTGATGGCCTGAATTGTGTCTCACACATCAAACTTGCAGTCAGTATGATGTCAGCACTTATGACCCAACTGAACCTTAATTACTTTACTGCCTTCCTGGCCCTATCTTGGGCCCAAATCCAGAGGATTTATGTCCTTGTAAGAACAGAAAGAGAGACGAATGTTGCCTGTCTCTCTGCCTGCCTGCCTCCCTCTGTCCTTTTTCCTCTCTATGTCCACGCACAGAGAAAAGCCAGGTGCACACACAGTGAAAAGTCTCCCTCTGCAAACCAGGAAGAAAGTCCTCACCAGGAGCTAACTCTGCCTCAGTTTGAGCATGGGCTGGTTTTCCAGAAGCGTGAGAGAAGCACATTTTCTGTTTAGGCACCTGGTGTGCAGTCTTCTTTTTTCTTTTATTTTTTTGAGGAACCAGGGATTAAACTCAGGACCCTGCACTTGCCAGGCAGGCACTTATTGTACTGAGCTATCTCCCCAGCCCTGGTCTGCAGTTTTCTGTGATGGAAGTCCTTGAAAACTATAACACTGGGGAAGGGCCACAGTAGGTAGCAGAGAACTGAAACATTTTTAACTCAGTGCTCCCAGGGTTGAGTGGATCAACCCTGGCATGTGGCCAAGTCCCAGCGGTGTCCTCCCTTTATGACATGACCATTGTGTGTTCAGTGCTGTGCACCCGGGTCTTCCTAATGTTTCAACCTGTCAGATTCTGAAATTCGTTTTGTGACTGAAGAGCCACATGGAAATAGAATTAAAAATATCAAAGAGTTTTGGACCTAGTAAGTGTGAGTGTGAGCATCTCTTTTTCACTTAAGAGTGATTGAAACACACTATTGTGCAAAACTGTGGAAAAGAGGATTCCTCCTGCTAAGCACGGGCCCTGTAAGATGGGCAAGGGAGAGGATTCTTTCAGGTGGGTGGTGACAGGGGTGGGGCTGGAGCCTCAGTTCTGTTCACCGTGATGCTGTGACAGCCACTCAGAGGCTGCTTTTGCTAAAGCACCAGCTCTTCACTTGGGCCTATGATGTCCAGTAGGTAACTAGGGCACGATGGAAATGGCATCTGCCCGTGTTCTTGTACCTGTCCCCTTTCCTCTAGTCTTTTTCTGAGCTGTCAGTGTGGATTAGTAGCTCTGGTGGAGTGTAAGCTATTGTTCAGGCAGCAGCATCTTCCCTGTCATTGGACAAGGCCCTGCCAACCAGTGCTGATAACATGATCAACCAGACCCTGGGGCCCAGGCTACAAAACTGTACATGTTTTTCCCCTTGTCTGTGTAACTTGAGGCTCCTGTCAGTAAGGCTGAAGATGCTGACCCTCGGTCCTCCCACTGTACCTACTGCTATATTAAATTTTCTTTTCTGCTTTTTACCTTTATGTTTGCTATTTGGTTACTGGGCCAGTATCTGGACCAGATCATTGGTATTCTCAGTGTCAGCCTCTGGCACAGGATTTGGCCGTGTCTCAGGGGACACAAATCCTCAGTGGTACCTCTAACCCGGGACTGCCCATTTATTGATGGGGAAAAGATTATCCTCAGCTACCAGCCCTGCTTAGACTCCCATGTCTGCTGGAGCTCCCTGTTTCCAATCCCCACTCCTCCCTGTTTCTTCACCACAACAACTGGCAGCACAGTTTGCTCTCAGGGTAGCTGAGGGACTGAGGAAGGGGCTCTGGCTTCAAGGTACCTAAGCATGGCAAAGAAACAGGACTGAAGGGATTTTTATTTGTATGGTGGAGGGCTCTTTTTTAAAAAAAAATCTATTTCCAGCTTTCTTTCTTTCTTTCTTTCTTTCTTTCTTTCTTTCTTTCTTTCTTTCTTCCTTCCTTCCTTCCTTCCTTCCTTCTTTTCTTTCTTTCTTTCTTTCTTTCTTTCTTTCTTTCTTTCTTTCTTTCTTTCTTTCTCTCTCTCTCTCTCTCCTTCCTTCTCTCCTTCCTTCCTTCCTTCCTTCCTTCCTTCCTTCCTTCCTTCCTTCCTTCCTTCCTTCCTTTTTAACTCTCTTCTCTCTATACTGAAATTTGAACCCAGAGGCACTCACCCAGTGAGCTGCATCCTTACCCCTTTTTATTTATTTTTATTTTGATATAGGTAAGACCTTATTAAGTTGCCCAGGTGGAATTCAAACTTGCAATCTTCCTGGCATGTACTTTTGTTCCCCATGAGATAACTGGAGTCAGTCCCTGCCTGAGACAGTCACACCTGGTAAGCAGGCACACATCCCTGGCAGTGCAGGCTAGGCACTTACGCACAGCTCCACATGTGGCACTGATGTTGGGGGACATTTCTATCTGAAACTAACAAGATCAGGAAGGACATGCAAAGTGACAGGCCCTGGGCTGGCCATGTCCACATGTCATTCCTGATCCTCATAGCAATATAGAAGACATTGTACTCATGACAGGTGAGGACAGAGAAGTGAGAGACTCCAGGTTACACAGTTGGGAGGTGTCAGAGGCCACTCTGGGGTCCAGGTCAGTAGCACAGTAGGCCACTCTTCCTATCAAACCACAAAGATCTTTGGCTCCTACAAGGTAGAAGCTGGAGGAAGCAGCCTCCTCATGGGCAGTGCCCCAGAGAAAGCCAGGAGCAAGGTGCTGGTGATGGGTAGAAGGAGCCTCCAGGTCACCATCAGCTCGTCCCCCAGGCATCCTGCTCACTATCACTTTCTCTTGTCACCCTGTCCTCTCACTTTCTGTGCTCCATTTCTCTGAGGTTTTCCTACATCCACTTGAGGCACTGACTAGAAGATAGGGTGGGGAGGAAGTGAGCACCAGGGTCTTGGCCCTGAGGAGAGGACCCGGAAGGGAAACTCACAGGCCCAGGAGACCCCCAGGGGGTCAGGAGACCTGCAGAGCCCACTTGGGGTTCCCATTCTCTGAAGAACAACTCAGTCTTCGAGTGCCCTAGGTCAGGAGCAGGTAACTGCTGGACAGGAAGCACACGTACCTGGAGAGAGTGTGTGGGTCATGGTGTCAGCAGTGGCCTCTCTGAGAGGATTTCTTTACACTGTATCACTCTGTCCAGGCTGGAGGGGAGGAGGAAACAGATTGTGAGATGGGAGGGGAATCAGCTGGGAAACGGTGAGCAGCCATGTTTACTGAAATTCCCTCAGAGAGCAGCAGGCCGCCATGTCTTCAGTCAGTATTCTTTGTCCACTGGGTCTGCAACTCTCATTTAAAGAAAGACGGCAGTCCTGCTCCAGCTCCCGCTGCCCTCACCCAGCCAAGGCAGAGCCTCATGTCCTGGGAGGGTACAGGGAGAAGAGAATGGGGCAAGCACACAGCCATACAGGGACAATAAAGTCTATACAGAGAGGAACACAGAGAAGGAATGTTCTTGAAGTTACTGGCGTGGAAACATCTGTGTATCAATGGCACGTATTTATCAGATGTCTATGCAGGGCAGGCTGCGTCCATGTCGCTTACTGAGTGACCACACACTCCATAACGTAAGAACCTGTATCCCCTTCTTGAAGCAGCTGGAGTCACCATGGTGTGACAGAAAGTTGCTGGGGCCAGGACTTGAACCATCTCTTTCTGACCAAACCTCCTGTTCCCATAATCGTGCTCCTCTCCCTTAAATGTACAAAATATTACTGATGTATATACATTCATTGTCAATGACTCTTTTCATTTCGTATTCATGTCTTGCATCCTGTGCCCAAGTCTCTGTCTCAGTAAGTTACGGCTGACCTCCACGTCTTCCTGAAGCCTCAGCCTTTGAGCCTCAGCAACACCCTTGGCCCTGGCCCTGCCTTCGGTTGTCCAGTCTCCTCTGCTTCTCTCTCATTACTGGTTTTTGTTTCTTTTACTGGGAATTGAACTTAGCACCTTGTGCTTGCCAGGCATGCGCCGCTTGTGCTGCTCAGCTATATCCCCAGCTGTCCCCTAACTGTTGCACCTTCCTTCTCATCCTTCATGTCAATAACCATGCAGGGAGCATTCTCCTCAACACTTTCCCTCCTTCGTGCATGCTTCCCTGAGATGATGGCAGAGCTGAATGTCCTGACTAGATGCTAAAAGAGATATGGGTGCCACGACCTTTGAATTCTCAGCCTCTGGGTCTATGAGTTGAATAAATCTAACTTCTATTCCTTTAAAATTATCCTCAGTTAGGCAGTTTGTTATAGCCACAGAGCTTTCCTGAGGTACCTTGAATTGGCTTCAAGGATATCTTCTACTTTGTCATCAAGTGTACCTGTCATCTCTTTCTGATCTCCTCCCTCTACACACAGGTTCACTGAGATGCCCTGGGCAGCCCTGCTCCTCACTCCTGGCAGCCCCCGATCCAGAGCTTCCTCCATCACATGTACCCAGAACTCTGATCCTCTAATGGGACCTTCCTAGAGCCCCGCTCCTGAGGGCTGTGAATATCCACCATGTGACTTCTCCCTTCTTGAGGTCAACCAACTCTGCCTGTTCCACTGACCATGGGAGTCGTGCCTGGGCTGGGAGACATTGCCTACATAGCCACGTATGGCTTCTGTCACACGAGGAAGACAGGATAAACCTAGGCAGCTCTGAGGTCCCATGTCCCCTGATACCTGGACACCCAAAGCAAAAGCAACTCTTCTCCCACTAATGGCTCTAGGAAGGTCCCATTAGAGGATCAGAGTTCTGGATACATGTGATGGAGGAAGCTCTGGATTGGGGGCTGCTAGGAGTGAGGAGCAGGGCTGCCCAGGGCATCTCAGTGAACCTGTGTGTAGAGGGAGGAGATCAGAAAGAGACGACAGGTACACTCGATGACAAAGTAACAAGCGCATGCCTGGCAAGCACAAGGTGCTAAATTCGATTCCCAGTAAAAGAAACAAAAACCAGTAATGAGAGAAAAGCAGAGGAGACTGGACTACCGAAGGCAGGGCCAGGGCCAAGGGTGTTGCTGAGGCTCAAAGGCTGAGGCTTCAGGAAGACCTGGAGGTCAGCCGTAACTTACTGAGACAGAGACTTGGGCACAGGATGCAAGACATGAATATGAAATGAAAAGAGTCATTGACAATGAATGTATATACATCAGTAATATTTTGTACGTTTAAGGGCCCCTATGCCATCTCTCAAGACCCTCCCAGGTGTCCTGACCCTTCTGGTCCAGCCTGATCTCCACACCCAGGGTACAGAAAGCATTCCCTGGACATAGGAGCCCCAGCCCCTGAGGACACAGCCCAGCTTCTCCTTCCCTCCCAGCTGAGTAATTTCATTTGTTTTTCTCGTGTGTCTCTTTGATCAGCCTCTTTGTGGTAGGGAGCAAGTAGGGCCCTGACTGGGATCCTGTGAGCTACCTCACTGATGTCAAGTACTCAGGCCAGTTTTATCAGGTTTTTGAAAATTTCCGTCAGTGTCTTTGTGTCACCTCCTGTCAGTCCTCAGATGTTAAGATGAGGAGAAATAAAAAGGGAGAATTTCAAAATCAAGGGGCTCAGCAATAGTCTGAAGGGTGGCGGGGCGTAAGAGTCCCAGAGCCCCTCTTCCCAAGTGTTGCTCCTCTGCAGGCTGGCAATGAGGAATCCCAGGTCATATACAAGGATATATTTTTAAACTAGCAGATTGGACAGCTTCAAAATCCACAGCCATCCTGGGCTGGCCAACTGTGGGCACGCTCCCGGCACTGTCCAAGAGACTGTAAGCATTTCTGAAGCTTAGAAGTATGGTCAGAAATTTCCATCCAACTTTAAAGTGTGCTGTCGGAGTGGCCGGCCAGTCAGCCCGAGTCTATCCTTGGAGACTTCAGAGTAAGAGTGGGCAAGGCAGAAAAGCGTGCATGGGTGCCAGGAAGGCTTTTTATTTAAACAATAAAGCAAAAAATAACTTCCTGTCCAACTGCAAGGGAGCAGAGATAAGCGTTTATTACACATTCCTGTGCGACCCTGCAACAGAACAGGAAACAGAAAAAAGTGGCAGGTAGTGAAAGCCCCTTGGAGTTGTGTACACCAGAGGCTGAAAACACGCAGGCCCTCGGAGCAGAATCTGGCCAGCTAGTGTGAATGTGCGTGAGGCTCTCTCCGTGTGTGTGTGTGTGTGTGTGTGTGTGTGTGTGTGTCTGTGTCTGTGTCTGTGTCTGTGTCTGTGTCTGTGTCTGTGTGTCTGTGTATGTTGGCTTATGTGAGATTTCAGTTGCACCTGGTTGTCAATATTTGAAGCTTAATTGTTCCCAGCTTCTTCCTCATCCATACTCAGCAACCCCTGGGCCCACCCTCTCCCCCCTGAACATGACCTGGTCTGAGAAGCCAGCACAGGTTCCCTGTTCCCTCCCCCAGCCTCTGGGGTCACCATGCTTGCTGTCCCCTCTCTCACTGCCCCTCTTTCACTGCCTTGTTTCCACCTTACTGCACCATAGGCAGTGGCTGCGGGGAGCTCAGCAGGGCAGGGGACCCTGACTCCATCCCCCAGGAGGAGCTCTGGAGGGAACATGATTCACCCAGCAACGGCCAGCTGTTGGGGACAGAGTGGAGCCCAACACTGGCTTCTGACTCAGGTCAAAGCACAAAAGTGAGATTTCATTATCCAAAGTTCCTATGATTTTCTGTCTCCAAAAAGGTGTATACACACACACACACACACACACACACACACACACACAAACAGAGTCACTCACTGACACACACAGCCTGGCCTTTAATCTTTGGAGTCCAAAGCCAGGATGGTGCTGGAGACATCATTCAGCACCTTCGCCCTCTCAGTCTAACCTCCCTGGGTACCCTTCTGTCCCAACACACAGGACAGCTCTTCCTCCTCCTCTGCTTCCCCTTAGGCTGAGGGGGAGGCCATGGGCCTACCCTATACGTGTTCAGTTGCATCCCAGCCCTCCTCCACCTATTTGGCATCTCTGATATCTCCTAAAGATGTGGCCACTCCTACATTCACCCTCCTTCCCTCCCGGTGACCTGCCCGTGACTCAGGAAGCCTGGTGTCCGAGTTGAGCCACAGGAAGCTTTGTGACCCAGTTGAGCAACCCCTCACCCTCCCTTCTGATAGGGTACAAAGGAGGGGTGCAGGGGGACACAAACCTGGGTCCAAGTCAAGCCTTACTTACCCTTCTCTGACAGGGATGCTGTGAAGGTGAAGAGAGGGGCGATTCCTCAACTTAACAGGGAACCTTCTCCGGCTGCGTTTGGATACAGCTCAGCTGTTCTGAGCTGCGTGGCTCCAGTCCTCAGCTCTTCAGCTACATAATGAGCAGATGCAAAGGCAGGAAGCTGTGCCCTGAACTGAAACAGAAAGTGAAAGTCCCAATTTCTGAGAAGCTCCTCAACTTGCTTGTTCTCCCTTCTGGGAGGAGCGGTCTTAGATTCCTGTTCCAGTACATTCTTGGCTCAGCCCTCCAGGGACTTCAGGAGGAGTGATGGGCCTGCAGGAAGATATGTGATTGTCCACACACTATGTGTGTCCACACACACTGCTAGGGTGTGAAAGCAAACCCCTCCCTGAAGTAGGCAGTAGAGAAGAGAAACCCTTAGGTGGGCTCTGAAGGGAGAGTGTAGGAGGGAGCAAACTCTCCCAGACCACAGACTCCCCACTTTTGTGGGGTCCACCTGCCTTACTTCGGGTGGTTCTATCAGGTTTTTGAGTTTCCTGTTATCTCTTCCTGTCCCCTCCCATGCACCTTCATAGTTTAACACGGGGAGAACTAAAAAGAGGTCATTTTAACATTAAGGGGCCCAGCAACAGTTTGAACAGTGAAAGGTGTCAGGCACAGTGTTCTGAAGTCCCCTTCCGAGGTGACACCTGGGGCCAGATCTCAGGCACAGCTGCACCTCACCCATGTCCTGCTCACTAATGTTGCTAGGTACTTTCAAGGGAAGAGGATGGGGGTTGCTGGCTGCTCCTCTGCAGTAAAGCAACGCAGTTTGTACAAGGAGAGACATATTAACCTAGCAGATTGAGCATTCTTAGATGACCAGACTGTCTTTTGCTGGCCAGCTGTGGCATCCCCACCTTTCATGGACTGCGGGGGTGTACAAGTTCTGAGTTTAAGAGGATTCTCAGCAATTCCCGTCCAACTTTAGAATTCCCATCTGTGGCCCGGCCACTCAGCAGATCACACACCCTCCTCACCAGGTCTCAGAGTAATAGTGTGCAAGGGTGTGAGGGTGGTGTCCAGGGACCCCTCCATGAAAGCCCAGCACAGTCCATGGCCCCCCAGTTGGCTCCCATGGCAACTTAGGGGAACTCCCAACATTCAGAGCTGTCTTGTGTATCTTACTCAGGTCAGTAAGAGGTCAAACTACTGTTTCTTCATGGTCTTTGTCACTACGGGCAAATGCCCATGAGGACTCAGGCACTCTTTGCCCTAGCTTTTGAGGGAGAGAGGGCAGGTAACTCTGTAGGAACCACTCTTTATGGCTGGCAATGCATTCAATTCCATTTTTGACTGAGGTTATAGAATCATTCCCTAATTATAAATATTTTATCTATCTTTTTTTTGTGTGTGTGTGCAGAACCGGGGATTGAACTCAGACCCTTGCGCTTGCCAGGGAAGCGCTTATTCTACTGAGCCATCTCCCCGGCCCCTATTTCATCTATCTTAAATGCACATGTAACCATCAGATCTATTTCTGGCGGCACAAGTGAACTGACCTTCAGATGGGGAAGCTGAGATGGGCCGTGGCTTTCAGCCACAGCCACAAGTCAGATTGAGCTCCATGTTGGGGCAGCTCATCACGGAACACAGAACAGAAGCCCACTCAACTGGAAACACAATGTTTGAGAGATGAATGCTCAGGAGAAAAGAAGATTTATTGAGTGGCCAGAGTGTAGAGGTGAGAACTTTGCTCACAAATCAACTTCTCCGGAGAGATGAATGCTCAGGAGAAAAGAAGATTTATTGAGTGGCCAGAGTGTAGAGGTGAGAACTTTGCTCACAAATCAACTTCTCCGCACAGAGATGGGTCAGGAAGTCACAGATGTAGGTTTGGAGGAATGATGAACACATAGGGTGACAGAGGAGGAAGAGGAGGAGTCGGAGTCACATTCTTTCCAGGACAAGCACGCTTCTAGGAACTCAGGTGATGGCTCTTTTCACTCCTTCCATTGGTCCGGTGGCTCATGTCTGCACTGCAGGGATTGGTCTTCAGTTCTAGGAGAGTCTCAGTCAAGTTAGCCCTGGAATCTCATTCTCATCAAAACCTGCCTCCAAATGATCCCCGTGTTTATGTGGACAAAGACTAGCATTCGATTCCTATATAATGTACCTATGAAGTTTTAAAATATTTTCTAAAACTATGCACTACTGAATAAAAAATATCTTGCATAGAGGGTTCCTTCTGCTCATGATGGGTCCCTGCGACTGGCAGTGCAGGGAAATCTTCAGGATGTGGTAATGGGGCAGCTGGACCCTCCACTGTCACCCTTGTGATCTGTCCATGTCTCAGTGGACCCGGCTCTCTGGTGGCACCTCTGGTTTGAGGCCAGTGTGCTTGTTAATCAAAGGAGAGTTTATGCCAAGGAATGCGCCAGCCAGAGCCCTTTCTTGAAGGACCCAGGCTTGCTAGGAGACCCTGGATTCTAATCTTCCTAAAGCTGTTTCTCCTCACCATGGCTATGGGTATCACAATTTATTCTCCAGGTCTGGTGAAGAGTTGAGGAATAGATTTGGTTCTAAGGCCCCTGAGTGATGGAGAAGAAGACGAGGCTTAAGAAAAACTAATGTTTATTTGGGCTGAATTGCAGAATTTTATCCTGGGATAGTTCCCCATGGTGGGCATCCACACCTGTAAACAGGTGGATTTTAGTCATAGGATAGGGCAGCTGCTCTTACGTAGCTTCTGGATGGGGCAGGAGAAAGGAGAAGTTGTCACCTAGAACTTAGAGCACCAGGCCAGGAAAAGACCCACACTCAGGGAAGACCTAGTATGTGGCAGGCACTGACCTTGCCACATGTCACACCTGATCTTCACAACACCATGGGGGACATTGCTGTCATGTTACAGTAAGGTGGGGGGCTCCAGGTCACATAGGTGGCATGTGGAAAATTTACACTATGGATGTAAAATAGCAGGATTGATCACTTTTCTGGAAGAACCATTCAGACCAAACTTGGTCCCCACAGGCTTGAACTAGAAGAAATGGCTCCCTCTTGGGTAGCACTCCAGAGTCAGCCAGAAGGAGGGTACAGGTGACAGGCTAGATGATCCTCTATGTCACTGTCATCTCAAATCCCTGACATTTCATCTCCTGTCCCTTTCTGCCTTCCTCTGTGTCTTTCCCCAGCTGCCTTCCACTTCTTGGAATCTGTCCCATTCTCATCTGAAGACCTGGGCAGAAGCTGGTGCAGAAAGGAAGAGGGGAGAGGAGGAGGGCGGGGACCACGTCCATAAGGAGAAAGGCCAGGTTGGCAGACTCTGCTTGTCCTTGTCTGCCCACAACTTCTTGGTGCTTGAGCAGTACCTCTCAGATCTCAGCCCAAGCAGGACCCAGCTAGAGAAGAGGAAGTGGAAGGACTGGGGAGGGCTCGTGGGCTGTGGCTCTGATGGCAGTATCTCAGGCAGGTCTCCTTACAATTCCTGTGCCATACGGGCTGGAGGGGAGGGGGAAACAAGTGTGGGGTGGGATGGGAGTGATCCAGGGCAACTGTGAGCAACAACAGCCAGCAGTCAGGTCTCTCGTGGTTCCCGCCAGGGGGCAGCCACGGTCCAGACGGGCTTCACTCCCTGTGTTCTTTGTCCCCTGATATCTGCACATGCTGCTTAAAGAAAGGCAGTAGCGCTGCGTTCCCACCAGGGGGCAGCCACGGTCCAGACGGGCTTCGTTCCCTGTGTTCTTTGTCCCCTGATATCTGCAGATGCTGCTTAAAGAAAGGCAGTAGCGCGGCTGCAGCTCCCTCTGCCCTCAACACAGCCAGGACGGAGGCTTTGTGTCCTGAGAGGGTGCAGGGAGAGGACAATAGGACGAGGACACAACCATGCACAAACAATAGAAGCCACACACAGGACAGATGGCAAGGAATGCTCTGCAGGTTACCTGGGCTTGGGAACAACTGTGTTCATTAATGATAATGGCATTTATTTATTGAGGGTCAGGGTTGGCAGGCATCTTCCATGTACTCCCATTTCATGATCACACACTCCATGAGGTGAGGACCGTGAATCTCCCCACCTCAGGTAATGTCCCTAAGTTTTCCCAGAGGTGTTGATATCAAGACTTCACCCCAAGTCCTTCTATCCAAATCCCATGTTTCTGATGACCGTGCTCTGCTTTCTTAAAAGCACAAAGATATTTACTCATGTATGCATGTTTTTTGTTAATGACTCCTTTTGTTCCACACCCTATGTATTGTACACCTTGCCTAAGTTTCTGTCTTAGTAAATTTATTGAAGCTCCTTTCCTCTATTGTTTCCAAAGCCTTCCTGTTCCTGCTTGCTTCTGCAAGATCATGTCATGAAGGCCTGGAGTCCCACCTGGCACTGTGCGTGGGTTTGCCATGGGCTGCCAAGTCCCCTCTGCTGTCCACCCCAACTGTTGGAACTTAGGTTTTCTCCAAATTCTTCATGTAAGTAGTAGCGCAATGAACATTTTCCTGGGGTATGAAACTTTGCCTGTATTTGAGATTATTTTCCATTTGTAGAGATTGGATGACTGGGCCAGAAACTATTAATGTGTAAATGTGGGTTCATATGCTGGTGTTCATTCTGTCAGCCTTTCCAGACATTTGTAATCTGCTTTGCTTTAAAAAAAAATTGGTCTGTTTATGGGAAGAATTTCTTCAAGGTTTGCCATGGAATTGGCAGCAGGGGCATCAACAACCCTGTGTTCATAATGGGCCATCTGGTCCAGTGTGGAAAATGGGCAGAGATAGGTTAAGGCCTGTGTGACACAGGTGCTCTTCCCGGAGTCTAGGGGAAGCATGATGGTGGCATTTCAAGATGGTGGCATCACCCTCTTTCCCTCTCCTGTACTTCTGATCATACCCCCTGTACTGCCTCTGGGTAACTCCCCGTGTATTCTTTAATCCAAACTAAACTATTTCCTCCCATCCCCTCCACTCACCAGTCCTCTCCCATCAGTTGTTTCAGACTCTGGCTCCTGCCTTCTTTCTGACCTGCTCGCTTTCTGCTTTCATCCCTCTTTGGCTGTGTTCAGTCACAAAAAAGCTGCACTCCTTCACACAGGTTCGCGTGCTTGACCTCACCCTCTGGCACTCTAAAACATTGCCTCCATCTGTCTATGTCTTTGTGTAGCACATCTTCCCTGAACTGCATGCTGTGTGAAGAGGGCGTCACTCATCTGAATCTGGCTTCAAGTGCTCATAGGCCTGGCTGAGGTGCTCCAATATGCTCTCCAGCTCTTGAGCCTGCTCTCGTAGTGCGTTACCCAGCACTGACTTCTCCTCCTCCTGCAAGTGTGCAGAGTTCTGCACAAGGTTGTATAAATCTAACCCCAAGAAGACAGCTCCGGTGGCTGTACAAAATATCTTGGTATCTCTGCTTATTGCCATCGCAGTGTGTCCAAAGGTTGACTGCACCACCTCTGCACCATCTTGGACCATGATATTCTCCATCTTAATGGCCACTTTGACCTTGTTTAGTAACTCAAGGTTATTGCTGGCCAGCTTGATAGCACTGATGTTCTTTCCAATACCTTTCAGGAAGTGGTTCCAATTTTCAGTTGAGGAAAAACCTTTGGGTGGGAAGCGACCCACTGACTCTGTAAACCTTGTCAGCTTATCTACAATGGCTGACATCAAGTCTCTGGCTTCGTCTTGATCTGGTAATGTGCTTGAATGAGCCACTGGGATAGAAGGCAATTCAGTTACACTGCTTCTGGCTCTTTGTTTGTCAGCTGGTTCTGAGGGTGCTGGCTGGCTCCTGGTTGTGGAGGATGCCAAAACCAGGTCAAGGAGGGTCAAGATGTTAGAGGCAGTGGCATTGGGGATGCCCAGCACCTTAGTGAGAATGTAGTTCAAGTGTACCTTGTTAGCCTGGCCTGCAAGGGCATGGAGCCTTCTTATGTCCTTCATGAGTTCCATTTTCAGCTGAGGAAACAAGGTCAAGAATGTCTCTCTAGCCCGTTGGCCTTCTTCCTGCCTCTCTTGGTCTGTGTTGGCCACATCATCAATTAGGCCTTTTAGAGCTTCACGTAGCACATCAGCCTCATCTCTGTAACAGTGAAATTCAAAGGATTATGGAAGGTATTTCCTTTATCTGTAAGATGGGTCCTAAGGTTGTGTGTGTGTCCAATCACAGAACTTTTAACTTTGCAAATGCAATGGAAAAGAATTGTACAGGTGTACGGAATTTTTCCTTCAATGGTGAATGTGTTTTGGACATTTTAAATGCTCTGTGATCTTATTCCACAAGGGGGAAATGGGGAAAAGCCATCAGAAGATGCCCTTCAGTGGAAGGCATTTGGAAAAGATGCCTCCTCACTCAGATCCATGCCGTGGCTGCCACAGTATTTGCAGAGTGGGTGTTCTATAGGTGAAAAAGAGAAGCAAGACCAGGGAAACACAAAGTGAAAGCATATTAATGCACAGGGAGGAATTCATCTTACCAAAGTATGTTCTGTCTGCCCTCAGCTATGGAGAATTTCTCTGTTACTAGGATTTGATCTGAAAAGTCCTCTCTTCTAGGGATGTCATTGTTTGCTTGGGCACTTTGGCTACAATACCATACAAGTTCAGTTCAGCATCCTGTAATCCCAAAATTCTAAATCTGAACCATATCCAAATTAAACCCTCTGGTTTTTAATAAGATGTCACAAGCAGGAAGTTCCACACCTGACCTCGTGAGCTAGGTCACAGTGAAAAACAGGGCATGTTAAAAATCTTGTAGAATGCTACCTTCTCAGAATGTGTAAAAGGCATAAAGAAATGTACATGCATTTACTCTTTGAACTTGGGTGACATTCCCTTGATATTATATCATACATCTACTACTATCTGAAAATCAGAAAAAAAAATTCACAACTCAAAAGGTTGGCAGTCCCAAGTATGTCCACAAAGGATGCTCAATATTAACAAGGAGATGTGTGGTGGGACTTGGGGATCATTTCTCACCTCCAGGTTAATGGGGCAGTGAAGGCACTGACTTTGGGTGTGAAAGAGACACTCCTGGTCAGCTGTGAAGGCAGAATGTGGTGCAGTCCCCAAGAAGCCCCCAGGTATTGAGGCTTGAGTTGAAAAATAACTCCTTCCCTGACCACAATGCAGTGGAGGCGCCCTGAATGCTTTCTCAGCTGGGCCTTGGCCTTCTAGGTCTATCTTGCATCTCCTGGCCCTGCATTGCTGAGGAGCAGCAAGAATTCTACTGGTCACGACAGGGAAAATCCATCACTCTGATATCTCACCAGATGTCCGTTAGGACCTCTAATATATTTGCCCCTGATCTTCTTCAGGACCAGTCCCATTAAGTCACCAGGACAAATTCCTCAAGTCCTGATGTTCCTTTTAATAGTGTGCTCTCTTCTGCCCTTATTTGTCCTTTGTCCCTCTCTCCACTACAACAGTCCTGAATGAAGTCTTCCTTGCTGCTGTGACTTGTCTTGGCATAAGGAATCTTTCACAGGGTGAGACCCTTGCTTGGCAATTCCTGGGGTGAACTGGCACACATAACCAATGCAATGCACTGTGTTCTGAGCGGGATGGGTGCTTTTTCCTTGCAATCCTTCTAAACTCAATCGTATGCCACTCTTCCTTTGGCTGATTTGAAGTTGTGTTTTTTCCCCCATAATAAACCACAACTCTACTAAGCATCTTTGGAATCCTCTTAATAAATTAGGAAACATGGATTTGGTTTTGGGAAATCCTGGGGCTTGCAATTAGTGTCCAAAGTAAAGGTAGAGGTGGGTGTTGGGGTGCATACATGTGATCCTAGCACTCTATGAGGCTGAGGAAGGAGAATCACAAAAACAAGTTCAAGTTCAGCCTGAGAACTCAGTGAGAACCTGCCTCAAAATAAAACATAAAGAAGGCTGGCATGGAGCTCAGTGCAAAAGCCCCAGGTTTGACCTCCAGTAGTGCTGGTGGTTAAAAACCAAAGGATAGTCTTTGGGCTGCATCTTGGTCTTTTCTTTATCTGACACTTGGCACTCAGAATGCAAATAATAAATCCTCAGAGCCAGAGAGAAGCTAGAAAGTTGTTGTCTACTGTCTCCCAAGGCCTAATGCTCTTTGCCCTTCCAGGTGGACTGTCAGTGCTGCCCTCATTGCTAGGAAGCAGGAGACCTGGCTGTTAGACCTGGTTCTACCCTGACTCCTTTACCTTGTCACCTCCTGACCTAGCACCTGACACCCCAAACTTCAGGGCCCTACCCTCATATGTCAGTAGTGTATAAGACCTCTAAGTTGGAGACAGTTTCACTCAAGCATCCAAGGCCATGTGCAAAGACTCATGGGACACTGAGACCCATCTATCATAATTGTTAAACATGGAAAGACCTTAATTTAAATAAGGCATGGCTGAACATAATTTCTTCTTTAGGGGTGGGAGGACTTTTGGATGTCCTCAGACTCTCCCAAATTATACAAAATAGACAGCTTACTGTTCCGACTTTGGAAACTGTCACTAAGGTACTCTGCCCACCTATTGGTCACCGGCTACTCTATGTTAAGGAGGGCCCCCCAGGGCTGCTAAGAACTGTGCAGACCCCAGTAGGGTATGGACCAAGTAACCAACCACAGCTCTCAGTGACGTTTGGGGGTTGGTGACACAAAGAAGGAGGAAATGTTCCCTCTCACCGACATGTCCTCTTCTGGGTCCATGGCCTTCCTTTGTTTTGTACCTGTAGCCTTTCCTTTGCCTTATTCTGGGCCTTATGGCCCCAACCTTCTTGTTCTCATTTGAGTCACCAAGGCACAAGCCTGGGGCCCTAGAGCTCAGGCACAGCCAGTGTCTCACCCAGCTCTGTGTGACCTCACTCTGGTCTCTCTACCTCCTGGGCCACAGAAAGATCCTGCTGTGCTTGTGCAATTTCTCAGATAGGGAGAAAAACAGCCCAAGGAAGAATCCTTAGAACACAAGCTGATCATGTCTAGATTTTTCTGACTTGTTCCAAAGCAAGCCCTCCTGGCTCTCTTCTCCAGGGAGGAGACCTTTGGCCCTGTTCTCTTACCACCTAATCTTTTAAAAATCAGTTTCCTCTGAGTACCTACTGTGTGACATCTGTGTGCTGTGCATTTTATGTACATTAGCTTATTTTTCTCACAGTCAAACTGGATGAAGAAACTAAAACATAAAGTGGTGAAGTTACTTGCAAAGGTCACATAACTAGCAGATAGTAGAAGCTATCCTGCCTCTGTGGTCATCATGTCCCTTTGACCCAAGACCATTCAGTGCCCAGGGATGATGTGGATAAAATATCCTACAGGGATTGTTGGGGAAAAAATCCTCAACCTCAACCACAGAAAATTGCCTGGACGAAGACTGTCTACACTGAGAAAGGCAGCCCAGCAGGGGCTTGGGTGGCATTGTTGGGGTGTCCTGGGGGGTAACCTGGTCAATTCTGCCTCTGCCAAGACGGTCTCCCAGGCTTCGTCTTCCGTTACCAGCAGCTGCAGATCCTCCCTGCTCACTATGTCCTGGAGACACTCGATGACATCCTCAATGAAGCTGCTGCTCTCTAGTTGATGGGGAAAAGGAAAAAGTTAGAATACAGTGATAATGGCTGATGCACGCTGTGCTTCACGCTTCCCTTCCTGAGCAGCTGCCACACGGAAACTTTTGACAGAATCTTCAGTGTTATGCACTGAATTGTGTCCTTCGCAATCACATGCTAAAGCCCTAACTCCATTCCCCATGCATGGAAGTAGGGCCGAGACATAAAGCTCTATGAGGTCTTTTGTTCAAGCCACCAATCTGTGATGTTCTGTGGCAGTTCCAGGTAAATAATTCACCAAGAGGGACCGGGGAGATGGCTCAGTGGAATAAGCGCTTCCCTGGCAAGCGCAAGGGTCTGAGTTCAATCCCCGGTTCCGAAAAAAAAAAAAAAAAGAAAAAGAAAAAATTCACCAAGAATTGTGGGGGATAAAAAAATAAATAAATAAAAAATAAAAAATAAATAAAAGAAAATTAAAAAATTAAAAAATGAAATAAAAAATAAAAATAAAATAAATAAAAATTAAAAAATTAAATTAAATTTAAAAATTATGAAAATAAAAAAAAAAGAATTGCGGGGGACATTTTTTACTTTTATTTTTGTGCTAGTGGGCATACTGGGGTATTCTACACTCTACATACTACAGTAAGTGCTCTACCCAAGCCATATTCTCAGCCCTTTTTATTTTATTTTGAGATAGGGTGTTGCTGCCTTGCCTAGATCGGCTTTGTATCTGGGCTTCTCTTCTCTCAGCCTACAGAGAAGCTGAGATGACAGGTGCGCGTCACTGTGGCTGGCAGTGCAGTGGTGTCTTCTTGTTTGAAATCAGTTTCTTTTTAACTGCACAGTGCTTTCCGAGAGGGAAAGTGCCAGCCATGGCTTCCATTTCCCTACAGCTGAGTGTGAGTCAAAAACTGTATTCCAGCATCTTCTAAACGTGACTTTCAACTCATCTGTGGGTTTGGAATTTAGTTTAGGTCACGAGCAGTGCTTTAAAAAGGAATCACAACTGACAGAATGAGTGTGTATTTAGCATAGAATAGTGATACATTGTTTTGTGAATTATTTTAAACACATACCCAGGGTGATATATGCCAGTGAATTTTTAAATTTTTAAAAATTATTATAATAGAAGACACATTGCCATCCACCCCTCTCAGAACACTCTCTCACTTCAAACCTCCCGTTGTCCCTGCCGCTTTCTGAAGCATGGCTAGAAGTCCTCTTCTGTTGGTGTCTTCATGGGAGTGTGATTAAAATGCGAATGCTTTTTGTATCTGTGTATTCAAAGTGGTTTAGGATAGATATATAGTTACATTCTCTTAATGAATAGAATGATTTGTTCTAGTGGTGTTTGTAAATAGGATCTCAAGTCCGCATCTTGTACAGCAATTAACCACTAAGAAGAATGTATGCAGTGTGTTAGTTATTGAAACTGTCCTAGCGATTTGATTTGAAACTGTCTCATTGCTATTTGTTTATCAATAAAATTATGAAAAAAAAATAAATAAAATGCAAATGCTGCTGCTGGTGCCACCCAAGGGAAAGGCGGGCTTGTAAAGTCACCACCGTGGGTCTTCTTTTTTTTTTTTTTTTTTGTGGCCAGCTCAGCATACCCTGGGGGCAAGGTTGGCATGGCATGTTGATTGAACCAGCGTCCCTGCGGTTTCCTAAGCTTGCCTACAGGTGCTTTAGTCTGCTGAGCTATCTCGCCGGCCCCCATGGGTCTCCATTTACCCTGCTCACCAGATCTGGGGCCATGCTGTTCCTGCTTCTTCTGCAAAGTCAAAATGACTGTGAAAAGTAAATGGTGTCAATCCATTTAGGACATCAGCACAGTTGAAGTCGGTTGTAGAGGAGAACTTCCAGAGCTGCTTCAGAGAGCGGACACGGTGGGTGAGGGCATAAGTATTGTTTGCAGCGAGGTAGAGTATTTGGAAGAGGATTAATTGCAATGTGTTTTTTTTTACTATAATAAATTTCTTTTTTTTCCATCCCCCCTTTTTTTCTATAATAAATTTTTTGGAAATTTTTTAATTCACTGTATTTTTACTCATACCTTCTATATTTCATATATATATATATATATATATATTCCCTAGGAATCCAGAAATATAATATTTTAAGATATTAAAAATATTTTTCAATTTATTTTTTAATGGACACAGTACAGGGCAAGCACCCACACATAGCTTCATTAATTATAGACAAATAAATAATTTCACATATTCATAGGGTACAGTGTGGTACCTCAAGGAAACTGGCACCTTACCACTGTTAGCAGTATTTATTTTCTCTGGGTTGAGACAACTTAAAATCCTCTCTAATTGTTATTTAAGAATATACAATTATAATATAATTTTTAGTCTTCCATAGATGGAATATGGAAAAATATGGAGTATTATTAGCCAATGTTAGTAGTCAAATCAATTACTGAGCTAACAGTGAAATAAATAGGCATTAGTGTTAAATTGGACAAATAGAATGAAGGATGTAAATAGTCTCGGGCCAGTAGAGAGGGGGAGGGTTACTGCCCTATTAAGTACCAAGAAAATATGAAGTTTGCAGAGGTCTGGAGTCTGCGAAATTGCAGATAAGGGACTGGGCACCCGCATAAGTGTATGTATCTGTCAGAACATGATACACAATATATTTCCTGTCATGTAAAAGCAAGCAGCCAGCATGTTCTTTTCAAAGAAGAGAGACACTCCTAGAGGAAAAACAACTGCTCAAAGCCAGCAAGCAGAGAGCCCAAGATTTGAATCCAAGGCTATCTTGCCAACAGTTTTTGGACATCACAATTAATCCTCATGTTTTAAAGTCCCTCAGGCAACGTGATGCCAACTGCCCGTAGTCGCAGCACTAGGGCAACAGGGCAAGAGAATACCTTGAGCCTAGGAGTTTGAGACTAGCGTTCGGATCACTAGCTTGACTCCAACTCAACAACTTTCCTATAAAACTCCAAACTAAAAGTGATTTCCGTATGCTAGGCTATAATACTATAATATACCTGAAGTATTTTTTTTTTAAGTTTAAAACCAAAAGTTTAAACTCTGTATTATGAGAAAAACTATCATGGAAGAGGACACGGCCTGATAATCCCAGAGGCTCCAAGGCTGTGGACGGAAAGGGTCCTCCAGCCGGGTGGTGATGGGGGACTGGACCCCCGCACTGCTCTTACTGATCTCTGCGAGTCTCACCAGCTTGGGTTCCTAATGACACCCCCAGCCCCAGGTTGGCCCATTTTCTAAACAGAAGAAAGTTCAGCTATAACAACCCCAGCCCTGTTTCCAGCTCCCAGGCCTGCTGGAAGCTCTTGACGTCCAGTCTTCCTGGCTCCCTTATTCTTCACCCTGATGACTGACGGCACAGTTTGCTCTCCAAGGCTGGAGTGGACTTGGTCCCAAGGCCCCTCTCTTCCTTCCCCTCCTGCCCTCCTCTCTGAGGGCTGACTTCGCCCCTGAGGAGAGGGAGGGCTCACAAACCTCAGGAATGGAGATCCATGCATTTCTCTTTGGTCTCCCCTCTCTATCCCCGTTGCCTTTACAAGCTACCTTGGCTTCAGAGGAGCCACCTCAGCGCTAGCTCACGAGCAGGAACCAGCCGAAGAAGAAGAGCGGATACCTGTGAAAGGTGCCCAGGCCATGGCGATGGCAGTGTTGTCTCGGGTTTTCCTGAGCACTCACCAGGGGGTCCAGGCTGGAGGAGAGAAGGAAAGAAATCAGAGAGCACAGTAGGGACCGCTGGGCCAACAGCGATCAGCAGCCAGGGGCGACGTCTGCTGTATATCTGTCTGGGGTGTGGACTGACTGAGTGTACCTCACTGAGCAAGTTGTCTGTCCACTGGGCCCCGTGGTCGTTATTTAGAGGAAAGCCATCACCTGGATCCCTCTGCCCTTCAGTCTACCAAGGCAGAGCCCCTGAGTCCTGTGAGGTACAGGGAGGTTTGGAGATGAAGACACAGCCATATAGAAACAATAGAATTCATACACAGAGGAATAGGTGGGAAGGAATGTTCTGGCAAGTACCTGGGGCTGGGAGCATTTGCTCTTACTGCGGGTCTGTGATATGCAGGCTCCTTGTATGATTCATTCCATGAATACACACGGGTTGGGTCCAGAATCTTTGTGGCTCCCACTCACAAATCTTTCTAACCCAAAGCCCATGTTTTTGATGACTATACTATCTACTTCTTTAAATGCACAAAAATCCTTACTCACATATATCTTTATTGTCAGTGACCATCTGAAGCCAAATCCATGCCTGGAACCCTGTGTGTATGGGTGAGTTTCCATGTATCCTCTCCCATGAATACCAAAGTCTGCAGCATTCTCTTTCTGCAGGTCTGCTTTTTTCATTCTATTAGGGCCTGGAGTCTTGCCAGAACCTGGCTCACTCTCCTGTCTCCCCCAACTGTTGTACCTAAGGCTATTTCTATTCATTTATGTAAATAATAGTGCACAAATATTCTCTTTGCATAAAACCTTGACTGCACTTGAGATTATTTCCTTAAGATATTTGTAGAAATAGCATGATTTTATTTAATTTAACTTAAACCTGGGCCATATGTGACAGTTTCAATCTTACTAGCTATCAGAAGTCTTTTTTGTTTTAAAACACATCTGTGCTTAAAGGGAATTTCTTTAATTTCTTGTGCTCATCTTCTTTTTGAAGATGAGGTAGGGAAACTAATGTGGATTGTTTGGGGTCATATTTTAGGAAGACATAAAGGCGCTTATCCATTACCTGCTACCACTCAAAAGTTATTACCTAAGATCCTTACACAAGTGGCAATAGCTAATGATAATAATGACCAACACTGGTGGGTTTCATGCCATACCAGCAGTTGTTCTGAGTCATTAGAAATGATCATGCAGTACTCTTCCAATGAACTTTCAAGTGTGTACTATTCCTTCCATACAGATGAGTAAATGGAAAGACAGACAGATGTTAAGTGACTGGTACCAGATCAGAAATCTCACAGTGAGGAAGACTGGCTCTCACTCCGGAACCCCCCAGCACTTCTCCTCATTCTGCTATCAGTGAAGTTGGGATGGGCTCAACAGGAGACCCAAGACTCCAGTGAAGGTTTGGGAGGCAGAAGTGGATGGAACAATGACGATTGAGTAAAGCAGAGTGCAGTGAGCTGCAGAGTAGAGAAGCGCAGAGGAGACCCACGGCCCAGAAGAACGGTCTTGGGGACAAAGCCTGAGAGAGGGAGAGATGAGGAGGAAGCTGGGGAGAAGCCCTCAGGCCCTTGTTGCACAGTATTCATGGAGACCTCCAGTCCCCACCAGGAGGACAAAGGGTCAGAGTGCATGACTGAACTGAAAGCTCTCCAGAGAAACACATCTTGGAGTCAGACATTTAGGGCGTCACTCTCCAGTCCCTCTGCAGGGAAATGTAGGACATCCAGGGAGTCACTCTTCAATCTCCCTCCTGCAAATGAATGGGTGGGTAGGTTGGGTCAGATGAACGAGGAAGACATCAGCATGGAAAAGTGGCCAAAAGAAGCAAGTAAAACCTGTAACTTTGGGCCTGGCTCTGACCCTCGTCTGAGCCTCAGTTATTTGCTTACACAGGAAGTGCTTGCTCCTGCTGCCTAAGAGGTGCCAGCCTGAGTACAAACTGCTAAATCATTATGGCTCTGATTCAACATGGCTGAATCCAAAAACAAACAAGCAAACAAGCAAGCAAACAAACAAACCCACCGCAGCTTATCTTCTCAGTGACTACCTCCTCCTTCATCTCCCCAATACAACTCCCTTTCACCTCGCCCATGTGCCCAAAGGAAGCCTCAATCAGCTTCTTCATGCACCACTGAGCCCTCCCCCACACTCCACCTCTAGAAAAAGTCCTTATCACCCCAGCTCCCCATTGTTTCAGGTCAGAAGATCTCTGCCATCTTCCTGTCCTCAATAAAGGCCTCTTCTCTTCTGCCTCTCTGCTATTCCAAAAAACCTAATACCTGCTTGGTACACAGGTAGTCTTTATATAATGAGCCTGCCTGCAGCTGAATTCCTAGAAAGGTGATCTGTGGGCAGAGAAGGGAGATACTGCAGGAAACCCAGCCCAGCCCTTCCTCTGGACACCTGCAGAGAGCACTTAAGGATTCCTCTTTGCCTAGCACCTGTGGCCTGTGCTCTCTCCAGGGAGCAGAGAAAAGATGCTGAACACAGATTCTCCTGGTCAGTGGCTGCAGCACAACCTTCTTGGCCAGAGACATAAGACAGCAGGCCTCTCCTGGAGAACTTTCTGTGGCCTACCACGGTAATGTTCAGGTTTCTGGGTCCAGAGCCAGCTGACTGCTCCAGCTCCTCCTGACTCACCTCTTCCTTCCCTCCATGCACCTTCATTCCAGGCATCTTCCATGACCAGGATCTCCACTCCCAGGTTCCAGGGTTTCCTGGGGCTCTGGCCTCACCTGGAATATCTCCCCTACCCTGTCCTCTGTTTTAAGCCAAGTTCACAGGTCACTTCTTCCCTACAGGCTGCCCTAAGCTCTCCCTGGCTTCCTTGGAATGTGAAGCACTCCTTGGTACCCGTATCTGTGTCATCTTTTCTGGAGACTGCAACCCAGCCCAGAGGGGCCCTGTTGTCATCTGCATCAACCCCTGCAAGTCACATAGAACCAGTGTGCATAGCCTCTGACTGAAGACCCCCGAGTGACCCAAACTTAGGGTGTGAGAGGCATTCTCTGCACACAGCCTCCTCCAACCCCTGAGAACGTTGCTCCAGTTCACCTTCCCTAGCAGCTGCATAAATCTATCAGCTTTGCTTTTCTGCCTTCATGGTCAATTCTCTTCAACAGAGAATTGCTAATAATATATATATATATATATATATATATGTATATATATCCAATTATATACAAATTATCTGATTATTTTTAAGTAATTTTGACAGTTCCATAATATTTGAGAGCTTTTATTTATTGACTTATAGCTGTTTCCTGAAGTTTTAATATATTTATACAAGGACAAAGCATAAAGCACAAGTGAAAAGTAGGGAACCCAGCTACAATCTGAAGAGGAGCTTGAGCTTCTAAAGCCCCCTCTCCAGGTGACCCCCACAGCAAGAAGTCAGGCTCAGCTCCCACATGACCCTCCACCTTTATCTCTCAATGGGGCCAGTGACATCAGGGGGGAAGGGATTAGGCCTTTCCTAATGCCTTAATATATTTATCATTGTATCATAATACAATATATACTATATATATTATATTATATATTCACCTTCATAGAAGGTGCCTGGAATCAAGATGCATGGGGTGAAGGAAGAGGTGAGTCAGGAGCAGCTGGAGCAGGGAGAAGGGCCAGTTCTGGGCACAGAAACTTTGTCTGTCTGTCTGTCTGTCTGTCTGTCTGTCTGTCTGTCTGTCTATCTATCTATCTATCTATCTATCTATCTATCTATCTATCTATCTATCTATATCTGCTCCTCTGCAGGAATATGATCAGAAAGGTAAGTCAATACAAAGAGATACAGTTTAGATCTAGCAGTCTGAATAACTACACAGTGACAAGCAGCACTCTTTGCCGGCCCGCTGCAGGCCCACCATCCCTTCATGGTTGATGGGCTTACAGAAGGTTCTAGAGATTTCAGGATGATCCACAATTTCTGCGTAACTGAAATGAGTTCTAAGTGTGGCCCAGCAACTCAGCCCAGGCCATGGGGCAGCAGCAGAGCACAAGTGTGCAATGGGCGAGGATTGTGTACAGAGTGGCTTTGTTCTTAATTCGAAAAGGAGAGAAATAACTGTCTGAACATAGAGAGTAGACAGCAGAGTCTATTAACAGAAGGGAAAAGAACAGGAAGGAGAGAGAAGCACTTTGCAATAAAAGACTGTTGGACTCCTAAAGATAGAGGCTGCAGCCAAAGAGGAGATGGGAGAGGCCCCAACTTACCAACGATGCTTCCTCTGGCTGTGTTTGAACGCAATCCAGCTCTCCTGAGCTGTGTGGGTCCAGGTTCCAGCTGTGGACTAAATACTGAACGAGGCGTCCCGTGGGCCAGTAGAGCCAGGCTCCTGATAGGGACACTGAAACTCACCGCTTGTGAGCCGTTCAGCTGGGCACCACGCTCGCCCCGCCCTGATTGTTTACTCAGCAAGAGGAGCCAGCTCAGGCCCCGCATTCCAGGTCCTTCCAGGCCCAGCCCACCTCTGCTGGCTATTATCTGTGGGATAACAGAGAAAGGCAAGACCTGCGGCAGATGCAGTGTGGTGCCCTCCACACACTACACTGAGCATCGCTAGGCCCGGAACGGAATGCCCTCCCTCCACACGCCAAGCGCAGCTGCCTCACCCATGTCCACCTGCAGCATCAGCATGTGCTTTTCTGTTGTGCCGCTCTTATGGGATGTCGTGTGCACACAGCTTCTAGGTATTGGCTTCTTCTTTCTGGAGTAGCTGATTCCCTGCTTGGAGCTGTCATGTATGTCTTCCCCTGAGGTCGCTCAGGCATCGCCCCAGCAAAGTCAGTGTGGCTGAACCTTACTCTGTTCCAGCCCTAGAAAGGCTGTGGGTGGGAGGAAAGGGAGGTGCTGGGAGGAAGCGTAGATGGCACCTTCCCAGACCTGCTCCATGCCACTGCATGAGCAGATAAGGAACCTTCCCTTCCCTATCAGCTGAGGTCTGAGCTGTATCTACCAGCAGCAGACTGGAGATGCTGAGCACGGGTTCTCGCTCCCAGCCTCTGCAGGGCTCCCACCTTGGGCAAAAATGTAAGTGTTAGGACATCATTTCTCCTGAGGCCTCGGAGGAAAGGGAACACTTTTATATTGCTGGCGGAAATGTGAGCCGGTGTGACCACTGCAGAAATCAATAGGAAGATGTCTCAAAAGTTTAAAACTAGGAATTCCATTTGATCCAGCTATTGCCCTTCTAGGTATCATCCTGAAAGAGTTAATATCGCCATAGTACAGTAGTATGTGCATACTCATGCTTACAGGTGAATAATGCTTACTAGCTAGACCTTGGACAGCCTATACGTCCATGAACCAATGAGTGGATCATGAAAATGAAGTATTTACACACAATAGTGCATTACTCTGCTATAATGAAGAGGAGATTTGAGTCTTCCTTGGGAAAATGGTTGTTCTTTGAGACTATAAGTTTAAGTAAAATAAATAAGATTTACAGATTTATATATCACATTTTTTTGAGAATCTGAAGTTAGAAATAAAGATCAAAATAAAGGCTAGGTAATAGGAAGTAGGAGCTAGATCTTTCTCAAATTAAAGGGGCTCAAGGGAGGAAAGGAGTAGTGAGAAGGGAGGGAAAGTGGACAAAAAAGGGAGTAAGATGTGTTTGGTATAGGCATCTCCTCTGCATAAGGTAGGAAAACTTTTGTTTTGACTCACTCAAGGAAGATAGGCTCAGCACAGTTGTCAAGACAGGACAGGCTCCTCCTGGCTCTTCACTGAAGCTACAGTTCCAAGGATGGGGCTGGCACAATGAACTACCCAGATTCCTGTTGCCACGTGTGCCAGGGCCAGGGCACCTGCAGGCTGGTAGGGCCATATTTCTGAGAAGTCAATCTCAGCAGGCTTCTTCTTTTGAGGGAAGATGCCATCCAAAGAAGCCAGGAGGACTGGGGAGGATGGTGCACTTCAGGCCGGGATCAGCAATCCTCAGCTGCACCGATCGAGGCCCTGCCTGTGACGCTCGCTGTGCTTGACACATCTGGTGTTGTGCAGCTCACAGTTTGAGGCTGTGATGTAATGGAGAGAGGGTGGTGGAGGAAAAGCAAGAGTCCAGGCTGTCAGGTTGTCAGGTCCCACTACCCTCAATGAAGAAGCCTGTACTAGCACTAGAACTGTTTGGAGTGGCACTTCAATGGCAATGGACAGAACAGAGCAGCCTCTTTTCACCTGCATTAGACCTCTGCCTGGCTCCCGACACGGCTGCTGTAGCCACATTGTAGGAACCCTGAGGTCCCCGTTGGTCACTTGGATCCAGATTTGTTCATCTTCTCATGAGGATTTTCTCCAGTGCACGGAAGGTTCTGGGTACAGTTTGCTTGTGTGTTGGAGGTGGGCTAGGAGCAATTTATTTTATTTGTTTATTTTTTTAAAAGTACAGCAACACATTTTGAGATGTACACAGACTGCAAAATGATTACTACAATCAAACTAATTGTCATATACATAGCCTCACACTCTTATCACAATTCTTTATTGACAATTTGCATTTTTTGTGTTTATAATTTGTTCCCAGTGTCTGCTTGCAATAGATAATAGTTCTCTCATGTTGGAGAACGGGTACATGCACATGACTGTCACATATCTTGTCCATTTCTGATCCTTTTCCTTCCCCTCCCTGTCTTTTCCCTGATCCCTTCCTCCATTTCCAAAAAGCCAAACTTGTTTCCTACATTTCTCTCTTATTTAACTTTCATTTATTTGTATTTTAGTTTTCACATATAAAAGAAACCATGTGATATTTAACTTTCTATGTTTAGCTTATTCCACTTAAGATTGTGGTCTCAAATGTCATCCATTTTTTTCCTGCAAATTGAAGACCATTTACAATCAAAGTGTTTATGGAAAGATACATACTGATTCTTGTCAATTGGCTGGTTGTCCAGTGCTCCTTTTCTTGACTAGAACTGATCAAATTTTTCCTCTTCAGATAGTAGGATTCATGTGAGCATTTTTTTTTTTTTCATTTAAGTATTTTCTGAGGGCTGGTTTATGTGTCAGACAATTTAAAAATATTTACTTAGAAAGTCTTGACATTTCCAGTTTTAAAGGATAACTGTATCAGCTATTGTAATCTAGGTAGGCAGTTACATACTTTCAGTTAAATCCTTTTGATTTTTCTGTTATTTTGAAGAGTAAAAACAAGAATAAAAAAAACAAAAACAAAGACAGAAACAGGGTAACATATAACAATACACACAATCCAGATTTTCAAAACAAGAATAGCTGATAAACAATGATTGATATATTATCTATTTTTATCGTTAAATCTGTTGCTCAGATTAACAGATAATAGTTAGGCAGGATGGGACATATGATCCAATTTTGCCACATGCTGTCAAGAAAACTTAAATTTTTGTTCTTGTCTCTCATTTTCTTTTATTATTTATTGTAAATTATTTCTTTTTTAAAAATTACTTTAAAGATAGTATAGTTATAATTAATATGACATTAGAAATGGTGCACATTTAAGAAGATCAAGATGACAGGTATATAAACATGGTTTTAGTATTACACATTGCTATTCTCAATGTAGTTGCTTAGTTCACAGATATCAGCATAGAGTTAGTCAAGGTGAGAATTCTACCAATTAACTTCTATTTTAAAAAAAAAACTGATGGAAATTCTTAGGACAATTGCCTTAGCCATCTTGTATATGCACATGTATGGTTTTGCCCCTCCCTTACTTCCCATCTTCTTTCCTTTCTCTCTCTTCATTGTTTAATCTTTAAGTTCTGTTACTTTCCATTTAACTGTGTCTATTCTACCTTTCAGTTTTTTTTTTCTTTTGAGTTCTCACACTAGGGAGACAATATGATATTTACCCATGTGAATCTGGTTTATTTCACTTATGAGAGTAGTCGCAAGTTGCATCCACTTAGCTACAAAGGCTTAGAGTTTGTTGTTCTTTATAGCTGAGTAATACTCCATTGCATAAACATACATCTTTTTCATCCATTCCTCAGGTGTTAGGAGTTTTGCTTGTTTCCAAGATTTGGCTATCATAAATTGTGCTTCTGTAAACAAGGATGCACATATATCTTTTTGAAATACGTTGTCCATGCCATCCTGAGCTTTAGGATTTCTACAGATAAGTATGCTTTAGGATTTCTACAGATAAGTGTGCCGTCATGCTGATGGGTTTCCTCTGGAACTGTCTTGGGGCTTCTCTCTTGCAACACTGCATCTCTCTCTTCTGTATTCTTGACATTTTAACTGCAATGTGACATGAGGGGGGTATGTTCTTTTCTGGTCCCAAGCCAGCCTGTTCAGAGCAGGTAAATTGAAGTAGTGTATATTTATGTATATTTCACTGGAATGTGATATGAAGTAGGTTTCCAAGTGTACGCAAAATGCCTCCTACTCCTACATGTCCAAAACCTTCCCAGATTTGGCAAGTTTTCTGAGATTTTTTTTCACTGAACAGATCTACAATGCCTTTAGTCTGAATGTTTGGGCCCTCCTACATGCCAAGAATTTGTAGGTTTGTGCTTTTAACTATGTCTCAGAATTCTTGGTAGTTCAGTTTTCTCTCTGTCTCTCTGTGTTTCTCTCTCTCTGTCCTCTTCTCTCTTCTCTCTTCTTCTCTCCCCTCACCCCTCATCCCTCTCCCCTCACCCCTCTCCCGTCTCCTCTCTCCTCTTCTCTCTCTCTCTCTCTCTCTCTCTCTCTCTCTCTCTCTCTCTCTCTCTCTTCCTTAAAGGTGTCAGGATCAATGACCACTAGCTTCCCAAGTACCAAAAAATTATGCTTCTGAAATCTCTTGATATCAATTCCATGTGCAGACTGAACAAGTTGCCCTATGTGTGCCACACATGATGGACACCTTTTCTTTTTCAGTTTACTGTTTCTTTTTTGCTTTACAAGCACTTAAGTGTGATAATTCATTCATCTTCTCTCCCAAGACTAAAACTCCGTCTTATGTTTGATTTTGTGTGTCTTTGTTCCATTGCACAAAATTTTTATTTGTCCTATTGCGCTTTTCGTTTGCACAATTTTGTTTGTTTCTTCTTTAGAATCTTTATTTGCTGAATTGCTTCTGCATATTCCTCATTATTTTCCTTAATTCATTACCTGTTTATTTTTACCCTTATTATTGAAAAATAAGCCTCTGAATTCTTTGCATCTTTTTTTTTGAACTGGGGATTGAACTCAGGTCTTTGTGCTTACTAGGCAAGTACTTATTCTACTGAGCTATCTCCCCAGCCCCAAGGATTTTTTTTTTTTGGTGACTCAGGCTGCCTGAAGGGCAGTTCTGGTAAGGCAGGTGGAGCTGGGGCTCGAACTGCGGAATCCGGCTCCTGACGGCCTTTGCATGAGCAGGCGCTTAAACAACTGAACTAAGGACAGCTTACCCCCCTGCATCTTAAGAGAAGATGCAAATAATGCATTCTTACATCTTAAGAGAAGCATCAGGTCTTGCGGTTGGGGATGGCAAATGTAGATTGCTGGTGACATTGGATCTACAAATGCCAGTGACTTCCCTGGGAATTTTTATTTTGATTATGGCTTTGTTGAGCACTCTCTTTAGGAAGCTTCACACAACTTGAGTAGATTTTCCACCTGCTTTCTCTCAAGTTGTCTTGGTGATGGCCCATGCCTTTGGTGAGGCGAGAGATTCCTACACAGGGAGGTGGTGTCTGGTGAGATGCAATTGAGCTGATTGCTGGCAGTGAATACTGTGTGTCTCCTGTTGCAGCTGGGTGTTTGCCTGTCCTGTTCCTTTCCCCGGAAACACCTGATTCCATGACCTGGAACAATCAGTGTCAGGCAAACCCCAAGCCAGCCTGTTCAGAGCAGGTAAATTGAAGTAGTGTATATTTATGTATATTTCACTGGAATGTGATATGAAGTAGGTTTCCAAGTGTACGCATAGAGAGAGACCATATTATTTCACCTAAGTCATTGAGACTCAGACAGGACCAGTGACTGATTGATGGCAGCAAGCAGAAAGCTTCAGAATTGGATTCAGGGTTAACTGGCAAAACTTTTTTGACCTCACCTTGAAGATACATATCTTTGAAATACCTAGGGAGTGTAACTACCTATGCCCGTAGTCCCTGCAAGTAGAAGGATCATTTGAACCCAGGCATTTTAGACAAGACCCAGGCAAAATAGCAAGACCCTGACTTGATAACAAAACAAAAGACAAAAATAGCAACAACAACACACACAGCTCATATGAAACAAATTAAAATAAAGTAAAATGCAATAAAACATGAGCAATTTAAAAAATTCTTCTAAAAAATATAAAAAATTCTTTTATATAATGTACATGTGTGCAGTCATGGGACATCTTGGAGTTGTGAATGATTGTTGATCCAATGCTGGGACAGATACTCTGCAATACAATATAAGTGGGAGAGAGAGGCTAGCTAGCTGCCTGAGCTGCTGCCACTCCTTTTGCTCTTTGCCTTTACCATGAATGATTGTTCTCTGCCATGTGCCGCTCCGCCTTAGAGCCAGCTGAGTATGGACTGAAACCTCCACTGACTGTGAGCTAAATAAACCTTTCCTTCTGTTATACCCTGTCAAATTGACTCCATTTTGTTGCCCTTCTAACCTCGCCGAGTTCCTGTTCTGTATGCGCCTACCCCACCCAACTCCTCACCCTTGTGACCCAAGTCTTATGACATCTGTGCCCCAAACCTTATCTTGTCCTGCAGAACTCTGTGTGATTTCAGCCCCCCCAACTCAGTGAACTCATGACCTCAGCACCCCCACCCAACAGGACCACCCCATAAACTAATGACTCACTGTACCCCATGATTGCTGATTCAAGCACCCCACTCAATAAGACCACCTAATGAACTAATGACCCTGCCACTTCTTCCTCTCCACCCCTTCCCTGTTTTTGCGGTTTTCAAGCTTAAATACTGACCCCTTGTCAATGCCTGGCATGCCTCTTTGCACCTTGCATAGAGATCGCCGCTGGGTACCAGCTAAAATAAAACGCTTCTTTTAACTTTTGGACTTGCCTCGTTGTCATCTGATTTTTGAGCTACAACACCTTCCTTAAAAAAAAAATGTACATGTGAGTCTTAAAATTTTCTTTGCAACCATACACTATGGAATAGACCTATGTTGTGAACAACACTTTTCCAGCTGATGTTGGGGGCTGTATGACAGCACAGGGAATTCTTTATCCTGCTGCTGATGGCTCGGGCGAGCCCTCGGCTCTCCTCCCTGTGGCCTCTCCACACCACAGGTGACATGGCGCCCAGTGACACCTCTAACCTCAGGCCACTGCTGTTTTGAAGCAACAGTAAATTTAACCCCAGAAATGCACCAGCTGGAGCCTCAAAGATCCCAGGGCTGCTGGAACCCCACTCACTACCCTTTTGTTCTTCACCATGACTTCTGGGAGCACAGCTTGCTCCCCAGGGCTGGTGAAGAGTTGAGGAATGGACTTAGTCTTAGACACCTGAATGAAGGGAGAAAGCAAGCCTTACAGAAAACTAACACACGCTGAATGAAGGACCGTTTCCTTTTAGGATGCAATTCAGACTTTTCTTTTCCTTGAGATATTTGGGGTCAGTCTCTGCCTGTATCAGTCACAAGTCATGAGCAGGTGCATATCCCTGGGAGTGCAGGTGGGTGTCCACTATTTCAGGCTCTGTTTCCTGCCTTTCCTTTGAACCCTTGCTATCTGCCTTCACCACCCCTTTCCTGTGTTCAGCCATAAAAATGCCAAAATGCTCAGGACTTGCCCTCACCCTTTTCACTTTAACAAAATGCTCCCTTAGAGAATTTGGTTACTATTTCTAAGAGTATTTGGTTGAAGTTTCAGGTCTTATATGTCATCTGCAAGTAATGACAACGTAACTTCTTCCTTTCACATACATAGCCTTTTTCTTGCCTTGTTCTTATTAAAGTTTCGAGTACTATGTTGAACAGAAGTGGTGATAACAGATACTGTTGTCTTGTTCCTGATTTTAGAGAGAAATCCTTCAAATTTTCCCCATTTAATATGAGGTTATAGTAGGTTTGTCATAGATGTCTTTTATTAGATTGAGGTAAGATTGTTCTATATCTATTTTCTTCCATATTTTTATCATGAAAAGATGTTGTATTTTATCAAAGGCTTATTCTGTATCCATTGATATGATCATGTCAGTTTTTGTCCCTGCTTCTGACCCACTGATTTCCCCTGTAGTTATTTTCCTGGAAGAGTTGAACACATGACATTATAGTGCTCCATGCATACTCATGTTTGTAGCAGCATAATTCATAATAACTAAATCTTGGAAGATTCCCTTTTGTCTATCGGTAGGTAAATGAATAGAGCAAATATGGTATACTCACAATTCAGTGTTATTCTGTCATAAAAATATAAACTTGAGTCATTTGTAAGAAAATGGATGGATGCACCTTGAGACCACAATGTTAAGTGAAATAAATCAGACATACAAGCTCTTATATGAGAAACCAAAAGTATAAACAAAGAGCAAAGTAAAAGATGGATAATAGGAACTGAGGAGATAGCGCTTTCTCAAAGGGAAAGCTGATGAAGAGGTGGAGGGAGGGGGAAGGGAGAGAAGGGAAAGGGATGGGGAAAGGAATTAGGATGTGTTACATACATGTGTAACATGTATGTGAGCTCCACACAAGGGAGGTGACCATTTTGTGCTGCGAATATGTAGCATAAATAGGAATATAAAAGGACAGAGATCAATAGATGAACAAAGGGGAGAGTGGGAGGAAAAATAGGAGAAAAAATTAAAATGTATTGCATATATGTACCCATTCCCCACAAGAATATAAATATCATGTACTACAAACATACCTGTATGAATAAATAAACAAATAAATAAATGCTTCCTTTCATCCCTATCTTTGTCCAGCCCAGTTACTCTTGTAGATGACAGTAAGTTAAAATAAGCTACCACAAAAGAGATCAAGTACAAAGGAGCAAGAAAGCTTTCATTACAAACTCACAACTGACCGATGCCCTGACTTTGGGTCAGGGCTCCCAAAATGTCAGTCCTCTTTGGACTTTTCCTACAGGTTATACACTTTTCAGGTTTCCATAGTGACCACATTATCTCATTTTCAGGAATTTCACAAAAATGTCGCACAACTGTTGCAGAGTTTACATTTCCCAGACATTGTTGACCGTCTCTATGTCATGGGACATTTTTTGGTTTCATGTGTACCCTCTTCCCCAAGTTGTTCTAACTATTTGTTCCTATTTTATAACCTGGGTTTCTCTAAGTGAGTTTATGGCTAGCTACATAGACAGAGGTGATGGAGTGAGTTTATCCACAGTTTAAGTGAACTTAAGGGACTCTCTTAAATGGACTTAAAAGGAAGATGGCGTCTGTTGTGCCCTATCACCCTGACTTCAGTGCTGCTGTGGAAAGGCAGTGATGGACTGAGACTGAGTTCAGAAGGTCATAGGTCTGGTTGAGGTGCTCCAAGTCACTTTCCAGCTCCCGAGCCTCCTACCGCGGTGCTTCACCCTATTCTGACTTGCACCTTTTGCAGGTGCACTGAGTCTTGCACGAGGTTTCACTCGCCTAGCCCCAAGAAGACGATTCAATTGGCCGCGTGAACTATTTTGCTCTTTTCATAATTGCCTTAGAAGTGTGTTTAAAGGTTGATTTCAACAGCTTCATACTGCCTTAGGCTATGATATTCTCAATCTTTAGGGCCAAAATTACCTTGTTTATTTATTTATTTATTTTTTAAACTTACAGGTAACTTTATTTTTTTGCCCAGTCCCTTCTCTATAAGCAAAAATAATTAGTGTGGTTCCTTCCAATCCTACACTATTGTTTTATTTTACTTTCTGTATTTTTTAGTTCATTTTAATGAGAAAAATATAAAATAG